TTCTTGTGGAGGAGGAAAAATGGGAGCAGAGCCACTCGCCGTGTCTTAGCTGAAGCATGTAGGAATGCAGAAGAGTTAGCTCTAGCTGAAAGAATAGAAGGAAAGCCTCAGTCAAAAGCTAAACCTGTTCTAGCTACACCGATCCAAGCCACACCTACTGAGCTAAGCAGTAGTGCACCCACACACTACTCATGCAGAGAGCCTATTCAAGTGAGCCATTACATACTCTATGCTTAAGTTGAAAACCTTGCAACATTGTCATTTGCAAAATCGGGCCAAAGACCCTGTACCATAGTACAGGGTATTCCAACAAAAATGTAGAAGAAAATTCTCCATTTTAATAATTTTTCTGTTGTATGTCCACATTCTTATGTTGTATAGATAGTTTGAACGGATTCCAATTTGATTTGTTATGAATTTATAAAGTTGCTCCAAATGCCATGTACTGTATTGTAGTGCTTGTCAGCTCATGAACTTAGCATGCTTTGTGAGAAACCCTGATCATGTAATATTATATTAGTTGTTACTTCATGTGTGCATGATTTTATTGATGCTGCATTCGGAGACATTTTTGATTCCAATCAAAACATCTTTATATCTTATTAGGCTCAAGACTTTTTTCCTGAAGTTCAAAGAATGCCAGAAGCTCCAGACAGAGTTCAGTTTGATTTCCCTAATCAACAGAGTTTGTCTGCTGCTTCATCTCTTCCTTCAGCTACAAACCAACAGTCCATGTCACCAGGTGATCCTCCTGCTATTGGTTCGTCCGTTAGCTCTTCTATAGCTCAATCTATCACTATTACTGATGTAGATTTACCCGATAATGAACTGATAACTGGTACTAGTTCTGCACTACTTAGCCTATCTCATGTCAGCAACACTGAAGCTAAAGGGCTCAGCACTACCTCATCTGCAACAAGTGCTGCTGTTAGAAGTCCTGATCATTCAATGTCATCAACAAGCACTGCAATTTCAAGAGATAATCCACCCAGTACTAGCTCATCACTGCCTCCTAGTTCTGTCATCACAGTTAAGGATTTACAAGCTATATTTATGAAATACTTTTCTACAATTGCTGAAACCATAAAATTAGATTCTGTTACTTTTGCAACCCAACTGATGTCAGCATCTATCATTGATTCTTCTGTAGTTCAAAAGGTCACTTTCACTCAAGGATGGACTCCACCCCAACAGGCAAATACCGTACTTTTTGCTGTTGACACTGGACTGAAGAATTTTAAAGATCCAGTCAAGTTGTTCATAGACTTTTGCTCTGTTCTTCAAGACTATGTTCATGCAAAAGAGATTGCAATTGACATGATGCGGGATGCTAGTAAGTTGTAAAATTACTTAATTTACTTTGCTCTCTCTCTCTTATCTCTAAGATTTAAGTTTTCCTGAAGCTCCACCACTTGTAGTTCACCACAGCACTACTCCTACTGTTGCTATTCCTCCTCCAACTCACACTCCTAGTGCTCATGGTACTGCTATGGCAGGAGCCTCTACCTCTACTTCAACTGGTATTGTTGCTGAAGCACCTTCATGTATGTGAAAGTAAAAGAATCCTTGTAAATTATTACTTAGTATTTCTCTTCAGGTGATTTCTCTCAATATCACGATGTTAATAGGTACGGACAACCTACTATGATTGAGTTGCTGAACTGGATTGTTGCTAAAGTAAGTCTATAGTCTTAACGAGCGATTATTCTATTCTCATTAATGGGATAGAATCCCAGTATTTGGAATGAAGTTGGGAGCCAGTTAGGCATATCAGATGGGAATCTGAATGCTATACAGAGGAATATTTCATTTGGAGCAAACCCCAAACTCCTTTTTAAAGGAGTTTTGTCTTTATGGGAAACAAGTCGCTCTAGGCCTTATACCTGGGGGACTATCTTAAATGCACTGGCTTCTCCTATTGTTGAACAAGTTGGACTTGCACAAGATGTTGCTAGAAAACTGGACAGTAAATAATATGTAATTTAAATGATGATGGATGATTTAATTAAAGACCATGAATCTTGGTGTACACAATATGATATTGAGCACCAATGTGCTGTATAATTGGCATCATCTACTCTTGCTAGCTTGCTACTATAATCAGTGGGTGTGTCTATGTGTGTGATATTTCATGTAGTATAATTATCTATGCCTATTGCAGCTGGAGTAGTAGTGAGTTGTGGTCAAGTTATGATGGTTGATGGTTCAGGTGCTGCAAAATTTTTCCATTTGACATTCAGTAGTGTTGATATAGTATTATCACACCAAGCTACAAAATTATTAATAATTATCACACCAAGCTAGAAAAAATTATAGAAACAAATTGTTCCTATGTACCTATAACTATAAAATTGCCTAAAAATAAAACATAACATTAATTGTTAGTTAATTCATTTTCATGTGTTCATCCAGTCTCCTTTTATGTCCTTTCTCACTTAGATCTTTTATTTTCTGTCTTAGATGATGTCTTAGATCGTGTCTTTTCTCTCTCTTCTGGTGTTGGTTTTTCTTCAGGT